TACACACATAAAAATTATACACAAAACGGAGGGCTGGGGAGGGGGAGGGTGGCGAGGGGGAGGGGGAGGGGCGGGAGGGGGTGGGGCGCGCGCAGCGCGCCGTGCTAAAGACACTTGCAACTGATTCGTTAAAAAGATACAAGATTTAGACTTGCATATTTACCACTTTAACAATTAATATCTCGCTTCGCAGGGTAGAGCGACGATTTTGTCTAAGGAAAAAGTTGTTTCTCGTTAAAAAACGCGTCGAATGAGACTAATTTGATTGATTTTGGAGGTGATGTAGCTATTCTGAACAATTACCCAATTTTTACTTGAACATCGCTTTAATAAATTCTACATTTGTTTGTTACAGATTCAGCATAGCTAAACTCCGCTGCTGCGCATCGGACGGTGAGTTAGGAACTTTTTTTACTAAGGCAACGTATCTACATCTCGTAGATCGTAGATTCTAGATCGTAGATCGTAGAGTAGTGTATCTCGTAGATACGTTGCCCTAAAAATGGATAGAGTACAATTTAATTTTATGTTTATTATTCAATATTTTATCTATCGAAAGGGAGTAATCGCGATTTTTACTGTGGAGGGTTGGGTGCCTCGTTGTAGCACATCACATTTTTTCACGCAAAATAGAACGAATATAATTGATGTATTCGTCGAGTTAATCTCTTGTAGCCTATCCATTTTTTTATTAACAAATTTATATATGATGTTAAACAATATGACGTGAGATTCGAATATTTTGTCGTAAACGCTGAAACTTAATATTATTTTCATACATTATTTGAAATTATTGATTAATTGGAATATTCCATTGTCGGTGTGTCTATCGAAAGGAAAGTTTCTTTTCTCTGGATCTCACGTCATTTATTCTGTATGTGTATCTCGCGATACACTTTCAAGATGCGTGTCGCATGAATACATGCAAAGTTACACGCATCTTCGTATTTTCGCGGTCGGTCTTCGCGATCAAGTTTCTTAGAAAATTTTCAACAGGTTATTAATTGTTCAATTTCATTCATATTATAAATTTTAATTTACCGCGAAATGTAAGTAAAATAAATATAACGCGAAGTAAATTGTTTTTTTTTCTATTGAATTTCGAATTTGAAGATTGAGCCACGAAGAGACAGTCATTATCCATTCTTGAATAAATAACGGAGATAAAAATATATTTCATTTATAGTTTTATACGGCAAACTTTTTAAATTAATTTTCTTCTTTAATTAACTTCTCGTGGTCGTGCATTTCGATACGATCGACGCTCGTATACCGTTCGAACCGTACGAAATATCTGTCGGTGACGATAATAAACCGACTGTGGAAGGAGTTTTCTTCCTTCCTGATCTCTGGTCAAAATGACCAGATTGTATGGCCAGGAGCGACAAAAGGTAGGTCCAATCTGGCCCGACGACGCGGTATGTGGTCAATATTGGCCACTTTGATGGGGTATGTCAGTAAGATGATGTACGAAATATGTTCTTCTTATTTGTCAAAATTCGGGTGGGTTATCTTCTCTACATATTTTCGCATATGTGCGAGATTGAAAAGACCCCTATTAAGTCCCAATCACGCGCGTATAACTCGAAATTCGACCTCTTATAAATCACGTTGCCATTTTAACGAAAGATTTATAGATTTATTAACAAAAAGTTGAAGCGCGGTAGGTAGGCTCGATCGAGGAAGCTTCGAAACGAAAATCTATTCTTAAATTCTAATTACTCGGAGATGTTGCATCAATTTAGTTGATGTACATAAACGTACGTTAGTTAATTGCATATTTAAATTTACTACGACAACACAAGCGCGCATGAAACTTTTTCTTAAAAACAACTTAGTTTATACACAGCCTTTTCGACAGCTGTCAAAATTCAATCGTCTCGTCACCGACAGTTCGTAGCACGAAGTGAGCCAAGCGAGACAGTCAATCGGCATCGCGTAAAAGAGACAACAATACTTCGAGACTTTTGTGTATCGACTTAACACGTCTTTTTTTTTAGAGAGAGGACAATATAATTATTAGACTGAATTTCAGCGCCTAGATAATAAGAGAATACTTCGATGTGCAATAAATAATGTTAATTGTATGACAATTCTCCTCCATAACACGGGTCGACTAAAATTGCAACAATTAAATGAGACGTATCATTTTCCATTAGATTTTTTGCCTAGGAGTGGCAAGTGCGCGCGTGCACGCGCAGAAAAGAAACTCGTTCAAGATAAACGACTGCAATTATTTTTTTGTTATAATTATCTGAGGCCTAGTTTTACAAACGTCGATTAAC